AGAGAGAAAATTCCTCCAAGTCCCTTGCTGGCCCTGGGAAGGAGATTCCAAAGCCAGCAGCAGAAGGTGGATAATTACAATTACACAGTGCCCGTGGGAAAGGAGCAGAGTGACAAACACAGACTCACTCCTCTTCCTTGAGGGAAGGTGTGTCTGAGGGTGGCTGGAGTAGGACCTCACTCCTGCCCCAGCTGAACCAGGACAGAGGGATTTGGGACAGCTGGAGGCTGGCTCAGGAGGGGACACTGAGCCCATGGAAAAAGGCACTAAGTGGAAAACTGACAGTGAAACCTGCTGTGCACAGCTCCCATCACCCAGACGTGGTGGCCACAGGGACAGAGTGGTTATGTGGGATTCCACGAGGAAGGCTCGTGGGAGTGGAGGATCAGGTGCCTTTTACCTCTGTTCCTAATGGGAACTGAACAACAGGGATAATCTCATTGCCTTTTCTAGGATCTGACCTTTTTCTCTGCCCTTTCCAGCCTTCCCCAGCTGTATCTMTCACACAGACCTGCTGCTGATCTGAATTTATCACCATCACTGGAGGCACCCAGCACTTGTAAAAAGGCAAGGTTTGCACAGGTGAGAGCAGAGAACACCAGGCATGTCCTTCAGCCCCACAGAGAACAGCACGTCCTGCAGAAAATAATCCACTTATCTGTTCCTGCTTTCTCATTCCTGCCCATTTGTTCTTTTCCTTTCTCTTTCTCAAGCACAATGAGGTATTTGTACAAGGCTTTCTTCTGAGTAGGRACTCACACACCTCATTATTCTGGCACAAGAATAGCACTGCTTTGTATTATTCAAGTTTGTACCACTTGTTTGGATTAGTCTGTGCCATCTGCACCCTTCTCACTTCTCCCCCACAGCACCTTAAAACCACACAACTATTTATTATCTCTCTCTGCTACAGACACCACCAGAAACTCTTCTCAAGATCCAGGAGGACTGGGATATCCTATATCCCAGATCTCAACTCTGCAGCTAAATTAAAAAAAAAAAAAAATCTATTTAAGTTGTACATAGCAACGTGATTTATTTCCTCTGCATAATTGTGCAAGCCAAGCCTTTGCCCAGAATGYTCATGACAGAAAACAGATTGCAGGAGAAGTGCTGAGGAGTTTATAGCAGGGGTCAAGTGCCATCCAGATTTCTTTTCCYGATTAATTTTAGTCAGCTTAGTGGGCAAATAATAACTTGTCCTGAGCAAAAACCAAATTTGGCTTACTGAGTTTCCCTTGAAGACTTACAGAGGTCAGAAATGTTCTAAGCAACAAAAGAATAATTATCATGAGATCAGCAGGAATTGTAAGAAAAATGGTGGTATAAGCTCCAGGCTCCCCTGGGTGGGGAAAGATCAACCTGAGTGACCGAATGAAGGATTTCCTCTGCATCCTCTCCATGCACAGTGGCTAAATTTCATACCAAAATCCACACCCCGAAGAGTTTCATTCACTGAGAAACTGAAACATCTAAAAGAGGCTGCAACTTCCAACTGAAATGAGAAAACATCCAAAATGCTCTTACTTTTGACAGTAGCTGTCCGGGTGCAGTTGTAGAGGATGGCTAACTCCCCAAAAACTTTGCCAGGTCCCATGGTGCAGAGCTTCACTCCCTCTTTTGTCACTTCAACCTTCCCATCTGTGAGAARAAGAAGAGAAAAAGACCATTTTAAAAGGGCAACTATTTCCGACATTTTAAAAGGGAACTTAAATTTTTTTTAAGTTTTAAGATGTATTTGATTACAGGCCAGGTTGGACATTGGAGCAAGGTGAAGGTGTCCCTGCCCATGGTAGGGRTGCCACTGGGTGGGATTTAAAGTCCCTTCCCACCCAAACCATCCAGGGATTCTGTACCATGTACCAAAAAACACCAGAGCCCTACAACTTCAAAAGGAATTAAATGAATTATGAAGCAGAAACTCAGAAAAAGGTTAAAACCAASTGTTGCACACAGAAACTTTCAGCACTTGAGGTTTTTTCAGTGGAGCATCTGTACAGTCAGGAAATACAGCACACTGAACTCAGTGTGACCTTTGTTTCACGTATTACACTTTCAGGTGAAATTTCCCCTAATTTTTTGTTCAAAAAGAACAAGATTTAGGTCTTTAACACCACACATGAAAGCGACGGCATAATTKTGCTCATTTTCCCTGAGAAACTAATCCCTGAGAACACTCATCCATGAATAACAGAACCATTATCAAAAAGAAAATKACTCTGACCCGTGGCTATTATTTAATTCCCATCTCTCCAGCCCTTGTCATCCCGAATATCTGGTTTTCTGAGGGGCAATCTGCTTTAGGGGAGGAGTGAGGAGGGATTAAAAAGCAAGGCTGGGTGGAAAGAAAGGGGCTCAGGACCACACTGGGAGGTTGGAAGTGACCAACCTTTTACATGTTGGGGGGTTTGCAAAGCCAGATTTGCAAAGCAAGAGGTGGGAGAAGAGGAGGAAGAGGGGACAGACATGAGGGGGCCATGGGGGAAAAGGTTTTGAATCTCAGCGGTCACAAAAAAGCCTCCCCTCATCCCCCAAACTGGGAAACAGCTGAAGGGCTCACAGAATACAACTGTAGAACTGGAACACAGACTCATTTAAGTTGGAAATATTATTATTTCTCAAGCTACGAGTGGCTGTTTGGTGATGATCATGACCTGGAGGTTACCCAGGMTGTGGGAAGGTAAAATGGTGGCAGCATTTTCTGAAATGCAGGAGCACRGAGTCGAGGGGGAGATTCAAATACCTTCATTACAAGTTAATTTTTATCATTATTTTTAGAAATGTTTGATTCATTTCTTATTATTAGTACCATTCTAACAACAAGCACATTCTTGTTTATCTCAAGAATGAGCAATATGAGCCCTCAGTGGTGCCTCACACACTTCTGAGATTCCTAAATTGTTTTGAAAGATGTAATTTTTTGTTTAATAGAACTGAGTTGCAGCAGAGCTGAAATGGRGGTATTTCTGCAAAAAGCTCTGATGAAAAAAAAAGACTGTAAAGGGAATGACTTCACCGCACTTTTAGCTCATGGGTTCCAAAGAAAGACGGACAACTCGGAACAGTAATGCACAGATGGGATCACAGTATTCCCAAGTGTTGGGGAGCACCAGAAACATACTGGTGATGAAATTAAAATACTACTTTTAAATTGAGAAGATTTCCCTGCACAGTATTTCAGATATTGTCCTGGAGAAAGCCTCCCATGCTCCYGCTGTTTCATTAGGAAAAGTGGAAYATTAAACACCTCACCCTAAGATACCCAGACCGTGAGTAAAATTCTCCTCTAAAAGGTCAAAGGATTGCTGTAGGTTTTTCCCCCTCTTCTTCTCCTACCTGGCAGCCTGTGTGGTGAAGTTTTCCACAAAGCAAACAAACTGCCCTAATGAATCAATCAGGGAAGGGAATGAAATGAAATGAAACGCAACTCAATACTGATCAATTAATGGAGAGACATCTGCAACTTGCCTCGGCATCTCCTTCAGACAAACATTAAATAATGCACCAGAAGCTTCTCTCCACATGGGAGAATCAGAAAATGCTGCCTTTCAGGCTAAATATTGAGCATTATTGAATTTAACATTTTATTTCATTTATAGCTGAGCCGATTCTGGGGAGCTGTAGCTGGCATATAAACAAAGCACTTTTCTGTCAGCTGCAAGAAACTATTCCATAATGATGGGCAATACACATTACCTTTCAAATAGAGCATAAAATAAAGATCTCAGTGCCTTCAATTCCCCAGTTCCAAGGGCTGCAGCTATTCCCTTTCCAAGATGAACGTGAGAAGATGACCAGAGTTAGGGATCAATACAAGAGGTCGATGCCTCCAGAAGCCACCAGCCTGCTCCCAACAGAAATACCTGCCAGAAATCCCTTTAACCACGGAAAACTCAAAGTATTTTGGRTTCTGCACACACCCTCAAGTCTCAATTCTTTGCTTCTTCATCYTTGGACACTTCCAGGGATGGGGCAGCCACAGCTGCTCTGAGMAMAYTGTGGGGCCAGAGCCTCAGCTCACCTTGTTGCTTCAAAGATACCAGGGAAATGCACTAAAAAATCATGAAATTAAGCTTTTCCTATTGAAAACTGAACCTAGGAGGTGGATTCTGATGATTCTTGTGGGTATTCCATGAAATCCAAGAGGGAACAGCTTTCCCTGCTGCCCTGGTCCCCAGCACACATCCCCCAGGCTCTCAGCCAGAGCCTCACTATCCCGAATTAAACCCCGCGCGCCAATTACATTGTAGTTGCAAATTTAATTGTGGAGCAATTAAAGTTTTAATTGCTAAGTGGCTACTTGACTTGTGAGCGGGTCGGATGAAGATGTGCTAACGCTTGGGTTTGTTTGGAAACACGAGCCGCTAATGGCCCGCATTATTCATGGAATTATTCACGGGCTTGTGCCCCAGCCAC